TGGCAACTTTCTTGATCTGCTCACCTCCATTTAAATGAAACCCAAAAACACCCACTGCCCCGGATCAGCGCCATCCACAATTCACCAGAACGACATGAAATTCTCAATGCTTGCAAAAATTTCCGACCTTCACACACATTTGGAGAAATCCAGTGGCAACCCGACAGCACATTTGAAACAATTTTTCTGCAGTCAACAAAATGAACCCAAGTAGCACTGCTATGTGTACCAGGGTGGCTGGTGAGATCATGTGTTCTTGCAGACCTGAAGTCTTATGCAAAATATTAGCATGCGTGCAAGTTGCTGCTACATCCTTCGTGCACCACAGAAACAGGTAGCATTCTTATAAAAATTCAACTTCCTTGCCTCCTTTTCCTTGTCGGGCTCCCGAAATCGTCTTCACACCAAAAAATTTACATGTATTGTTTTCGGAATTCATACGTGACACCGAAGCGCACGAGAACGATAATTTTAAAACAGAGAAGTGGCGCGTGGGGCAGGAACATGTTCCAAAAGTTTTAGCTTCTTAGCTTCTCTGGTCGTTGAGTTGAAAATTAAAATTGGGCAACAAAATGCGAACATACACACACACACACACGAAGAGACAAACTCTTGCCAACATGCGTTTTTGCATTTGCACAAATATGCAGAAATGCACAGCAACAAGCACCATCGCTGCTGTTAACAGATAGCAGTTGCTGGCCTGTTACTGAGCGATCGCCGCCTTAAGAAGTGAGTGCGCAAATTGTGCATGAGGGGGGAGGAAGTTCGGAGAAACAAAGCACTTTGGAATAATGCACAAGGAAGGCACACTTTTCACTCAACAAAAGACTGAGACTGAATGATGCGGCCAATATTTCTGGCATTTTTCATTGCTGTTTTAGTAGCACATTATAAAAAGATCGCAGAAAAAGACTTCATGACAGCTGCGTGCCACTTTATTTCAGAACACTGCCAATTCCGGAAGACCGGAACAGCGTCAGTGCTAACAGTGAATGGGTGCTGATATCTGCAGCGTGACCGGACAAAAAT